GTCTTCGGTGAAGTGCCTGTTCATATCCTAGTTTGCTTTTTCGGTTACCAGTCTGAATATTACAGTAACTATTTACTGCCGGAAACCCAGAAAGTATTGTGTACTTTAGAGTCAAAACCAACTCATATCTGACAGGTTTTCAGAGGCAGTTAATCGCACGGAAGGAGACTGCCCATCCTTCTTCCGCACAGCAGCTGATGGGGTCGAACTGTGTGCCTGCGGGATTGCAGATCAGCTTCTTGGCACTAGGCCGTCAGAGCTTCCCACCGGGAAGTATTGGAACTTATTCAAAGTCAGTGTATCACCCTAGCCTTTCTATCTGAAAAAAGGGATGAAGGCTTTGCATGGAGCTTAGAGGGACCATGAATTCTCTGAGAAGTATTTTGCATCAACATTTATGCCTTTTCCAGCGGTTGTTGGTAGCTTCATGAAGGAGTCTGCGTCTAACAAAAAGAGCCCCTGCTGCAGAGACGCTGGTACACCTGAAGAGAGATACTTACTGATTGCATTGAAAAGAAAAACCTTACCTCTTACTTAACTGTTTTTTTCTGGGATTTTAGGAAGAGATGAAACCATGCAACCAGCCAAGCCATCTTTCCTTGAATATTTTGAACAAAAGGAAAAGGAAAATCAGATCAACAGCTTTGGCAAGAGTGTGCCTGGCCCCCTGAAGAATTCTTCCGATTGGAAAGTGCCCCAGGATGGAGACTATGAGTTTGTAAGTAGTGTTGGAAGTCAGGTGCTTCTAACTTCTGTGGGAAGTTACTTGAGATGTTACATATGCAATCCAGCTCTCCTCAGGTAACTGGAAGTGCCTGACCATCTCCTCAGGCAGTCCACGTCTGGCGGCAGCTCCTGGGCAGCTCCTGGACTGAGGTCCTCAGGAGGGAGCCACGTTTATTTTTTTATAAATTGTTTTTTCATATGGTAATTCATTTACATTGTGTTTCATTCACGTACATTGTGTTTTATACAGACTTTTCATTTATGTTGTGTTTCATACATTGATTCATGTACGTTGCATTTTATTGTAATTAATTATATAAATGAATTAATTTTATATTAATTAATTATTGATCTATGCCTTGTATAGCCCTATGTTTTCAGGTCCCCATGGAATCTTTCCTATTTCTTGACCTTCCCTTAGCCCCACTTCGCCCACTAAACTCTGTTATCCTAGTGATTTCTACCTTTCCCTCTTTCTGCCCCTTTCCGCCTTTTCGTTTTGGGCATTTATATGAGGTGGATTGATTCAGTGACTGGGATAATTGGGATGGGAGTGTCAGAGACAGTGCGATTGGCACAGGACAGAGCGGAGTTTAGGGCTGTTGTATATAGGGTCGCTATGAGTCATAGGCGACTCGATGGCACAT